CTCCCAAGGGGCGCCCTAGGCGGCTGCCTAGTCCGCCTTACAGGTAGCGCCGGCCCTGGAAGCATCAAGCATGTCAAACTCGCGGCCCACAAGGACCTTCCTTGTGGGCCAGCCAATCAGGAGCACCTGTCAAGGGGCACCAGAATCACTTGTCAGACTCAGCCTGCCACCTCAGGCAGCATGCGGTTCCTTTATGGAGCCTCACGCACAGTACACAAGGAGGGGGAGAGCCTCCCGCTCTGCAAAGGAGCGCTGGGTGTCACATGATTAGCCAGTACTCAATCTGTCAGCGTGCCGCCGGAGAGCGAGTGGCTCCCATGTCAGGTAAAACGGAAGGGCAGTGCCAGTGTCCGAGGTGAAGGTGTGAAGGTACAGCTGCCTGACAATAGGGAAGAAGGGAGTATAAATGTAAGGGGTAGGATGGGAGACATGGGGGGAGGAAGGGAAAGAGGTGTGGATGGAGAGACACATGGATGGAATGTGTAGGGAGGAAGACATGGGGTAAGAGATACGAATGGAAGGGGGAGAGGGAGATATGAATGAAAAGGGGGAGGAAACATGATAGGGGACAGAGATATGAATTGAATGGGTAGGGAGGGAGACATGGGGGAGATATGAATGGAAGGAGGGAAAACACATGAAAGACCTGCATGATATTAGAGACATAGATGGGAGAGGGAGACATGGATGGGAGAGAAATATGGATGGAAGGGTAGAGAGACATGGATGGTGAGAGACATGGAATGGAGGGAAACAGAGACATGGATGGAAGGTGCAGCCAAACCTTACTCTGCCTGGAGATTGCAGAGGGACTAGAAAGTGAACAGACAGACTGCAATTTGCAGAGGGACTAAGGGAGCGAGCCGGGCGGGCACTCCAGATGGTGACATAACTACTGGGACAGTAAGTAATTTAAGGTGAAGCTTTCAAGTAAATTATTTATATGCACCCAGGATTACATATTGCTTGCATGAGAATGAATGAATGAAGTAATTTTAGTTTGTATGAAGGTTTCCCTCTCGTGTATTTTACTTTTTTCTCCCTTCTTTCCCAGGAATTAAAATTAGTTTGGTTTGCATATTAACACTATGTCATTTCACTGGGTTTCATGCATTACTGTTCGGCTATTATTTATGTGAATTTCTTATTTATACTATAAGTATGCTGTTTTCGTTTGAGGTTGGTTAAACTGTTCATAAGTTTCATTTCCATTAGTGAGCGTTTCATTAGTTTCCATTCATAATATCTTTCGGTTCAGTCTCTGTCAATTTCAATATGTTCGAATAATTCATTTCATATGCAAATATCTGTTCCACATAATGAAAGGACTATTCATATAATGCTATTCTCCTTCTCAGCTCGGTTTGAGGTTGGATTTCCAATTTTTTATTTTTTTATTATTTATTCTGTTAGATGCTTGTATTTATTTAAAAAAGAAATTAGTTAAATACAATAGCATTTTAAAACTCGCATTATGTTAGTTCAAGTTAACTAGATTAAAGTTTTATTTATTTATTTTTTTCGCTATTTTTTCTGTTTCCCCGTGCCCTCCAAAATAATGACACTATGACGCCATCCAGTTATAAAATTTAATTCAGAGATTATATAAATAATATTTTTTTGTTTCTTTCTCTCTCCCCTTCTTTTTCTCAGTCATTCTGCTATAACAAACTAAAATACATATAAAAATAAAGTTTTCCTGCCTTTTTGTTTCCCTTCTATAAACAGATATTCAGGTTTAGTACGCTTTCCAAGGGCAAGTCCAAACTCTTCCATTTCAACCTAAATCTGGTTAGTAATTTTACATTCTCGTTAAAAGATTTTCTCCCCTTCCCCTCATCTCTTGATACAATTTTTCTTCTTACATTATCTAGCAATAATCTCATATCTTTTGTTAATAATTACTTCTGGGGTTACTACGGTTGTAACTCATTCAATAAAATATATTTTAGGTCACACGTGAGGCGTCATCTTACGTTCTATAAATCATCAAACATTTTTAATAATTATATTTAATTTTGTTTAGGTCAATGGAAAAAAACGTCCCAAGTACTTAAATACGCCCTACCAGTTCACTAGCAAGGTACGGGTTAAAAAATACGGATACATTTTTATTATTAACCTTACAAGATATGAAGTAACCATTATAGAAATCCTCACCAATTAGGAATAATTTCTTCATAGGCCTCTTCGCCTCAGTTGAGTGGTTCCGCAAGGCCAACTCCCATCCTCACCCTCGGAGGTACAAGCCCAACAGCCCAACGCATAGTTAGTGCCTTGCACCTGTCATGGCCAACCTATCTTAAATCTTATAAATGTCCCAGAGAGGCCAACACCCGCCACGTTTGTGGCATCAAAAAAGCCCCCACAAGCCAAATCATAGGTATAGCTTCTCAAAGCCACTTGGCAATTAGTTAGGGCATCACCTGTCACCTAACTAGTTGTAATAATATAATTTCACTCTTGGCCTTATACTAGTGAGCTGGGTTACTTCATATCTATCAGGATTACATAATAACCAAGTCATTTCCTTCGCACCCATTGCATGTCTAACGCTTCACTTCAAGGAGATGACCTGTCACTTACCAGCACCCCAACCAGATCTAATTCCCAGACAAAGAAAACAGTTGTAGCCAGCCCAGCGTCCAGCTACAGATCTTGGACAATTCCTAAAATCACAGCAGAACTTAAAAGAAGGAACATTCCCTTTCCTGCCACAGCCAGGAAAGCTGAACTATTTCGCTTGTTAAACACGCATAATGATAATGAAAGGCCTGGCCCTAGTTCTGAATGTAATATCCCAAATAGTTTGTCAAAACAACTGTTTGGATAATCTGAAATCCACTAACCAAACAAGCATCCCGGATGTCCAACTTCCCATAGCACATTCAGAAGTTCAGGAGGAAACTCTAATCCTCTACCTGCTAAGAGTACTAATATCATCAACCCAGTACATCTTATCCCACAAAATTTAAAAAGTGACATATTAGAAGGTAAAGATGTTAATTTGGCCCCTCTTCTCATTGCGTCACAGGATATAATGTAAAACAAGTTTGGTGATTTATCTGTGATAATGAAGTCTAGAGACCCCAGACTTAACAGGAAATTAAATATTCCCGAGTTTGTTTTAGCTTTTGGATTATTTAGAGAGGAACTGGATTTATACTTGCACAAGCTGGTGGACCTAACTTATAAATATGGAGACTACGCTTTCTACGACTATCATCAGGTCCGGCGCCTCTTATAGGTGACTTAGGCAGTCGCCTAGTACGCCCCTTAATAAGGGGTGCCGCCAGAAGCGCCACCCACTCAAATGTTGCAGCTGCCTGAGTGCTCTACAGAGAGCCTCAGGCGGCTATAGCACTGCTCGGGCTAGCACGTCCATGAGGACACACAAGAAAAGAGGGATCATCAGGAGGGAAGCACACAGCGCTCCCTCCTGTCAGTCCCTCATTGTAGCGTGGCCGAGCTCTGCTTCGGTCCGCGGAACAGGAACATCCTCAGTGAGCACTTCCTGTCAGTCTGGCCGGGTACAGGGAACAGAAGCTCCTGTACCTCGGACTGGTCCGGGGCTCGGCCACGCTACAATAGGGGGGAGGGGGGTGAGGAGAACGGAGGGGGAAAGACCACTGGGGGCGGTGGAGGAGAGACCACTAGGGGAGGGGGGGTGGGAAGAAACCACTAAGGGTGAGGGGAGAGAAGAGACCACTAAGGTGGGAAACGGGAGAGGAGAGACCACTAAGGTGGGAAGGGGGAGAGGAGAGACCACTAAGGGTGGGGTGGGAGGAGAGACAATGAGAGGGGAGGGGTGAGAGAGGAGAGACCACTAATGTAAAGGGGGGTAGGAAGGGAGAGACCACTAATGGAAAGGGGGTGAGGAGAGACCATTGGGGGGGGAGGGAGAAGAGAGATCACTAATGGAAAGGGGGGAGAAGAGGAGAGTACACTAAGGGAGGCGGGAGAGTCGAGTAGAGACCAGTAATGAGGTGGGGGAGAGGAGAGTCCACTAAGTGACAGGGGAGGAGAGGAGAGACCACTAAGGGGCAGGGGAGAGCTCAATGGGATGCAAGGGAGAGCTCTATGGGGAGGGGGAGGTAGGAGAGAGCCCTAAGGGATGGAGGGGAGCACCAAGGGATGATGGTGGGGGTAGGAGAGAACTCTAAGGGACGAAGAACGAAGAGAGAACTATGGGAAAGGGAGATCACTAAGGGACAGTGGGGCAGTGGAGAGCACTAAGAGACAGGAGGGGAGAGTTCTAAGGGACAAGAGGGGAGAGCAGTAAGGGACAAGAGGGGAGAGCAGTAAGGGACAAGAGGGGAGAGACTGAGGAAGGGCCCCTATCCTACCCTACAAACTCTCTCTTTCACACTACACAATGCTTCCCTATACATACACAGAAACGCACAATGCATCCCTACACACACAGAAACGCACAATGCATCCCTACACACACAGAAACACACCATGCTTCCCTTGCACACACAGAAACACACCATGCTTCCCTTGCACACATACACAAAAACACACCTTGCTTCCCTTGCACACAGAGAGACATACAATGCATCCATTACATACACCCTCAATGCATCCCTTGCACACATACACAGAAACACAATGCATCTCTTACACACACCCTCAATGCACCCTTTAGAGACACACACCTTGCATCCAGGGACGTTTTAGCAGCAAGGCAAACAAGTAATTTGCCTTACGCGGCATTTTCCAGGGGGCGGCAAAAAAAGCCGCCCCCAAATGCCCAGGGCAAATGTCTTGTTAGCCTTGCGGCTAACTGACAAGCCAGGCAGGCGGGCAGTCAGTCGGGCGGTGCTGGCGAAGGAGCATTTTCCCCTGAGCGCTCTGCTCAGCTCCCTCACGCGGCACAGAGTGATGCCGGGAGCCGGAATATGACGTCCTATTCTGGCTCCCAGCATCACTCTACGGAGCGCGAGGGAGCAGAGCGCTCAGAGTAAAGTGCTACCTCACCAGCAGCCCCACTAGACCCCAGGGAAAGGGAGAACCCCCCCCCCCCAGCATTCCCAAAGGTAAGGAGGCTGGGGGGGGGTTAAATAAAAAAAAAGTGAGTGTGTTAATGTGAGTGAGTGTCTGTTAGCCCCGGACAAAACAGAGGGTCCCAGCACTGAAATAACTTTCTTGGGTATTACACTAAACTCAGAATCCATGCAAGCTAGCCTCAAGGAAGGGCCTTCATCTCTAGAATACTTTCTCTTCTACACTGTCTTCCGGACGACGACTCTAGAACTATTTTAGACGAACCAGCTTGGAACGGCAGATCCTTATTCTTTCCACCCATTTCTGACAATTCCCCTGTAATATGGACTGACGTAGCAGGAGCCATAGGTTACGCCGCTATATTCGGCAACTAGTGGGTGTCAGGGTACCTTTGGTGTCTACCTCGGAGGAGGTTAGACACCTAGACGTCCATCCTCCCACGGGGGCTGACTCACCCGATCCTTGCACTCCTCCCGGTCGTTTACACGCCGGCCGCGATAGCTCCGCCTCCTTTTATGACGCGGCGCTCAGTAGCCGACGTCATGACGGCAATCACGTTCCGACCCGTCAATCACGGCAACCAAGTGCCGAACAACGAATCAGGACTCGTTGGGGGCGGAGCCAACAGTTAAAGAGCCAAGGTATAAAAAAGGGTTCTGTGGAATGATTCATTGCCCTGTCGTGGTTCTAGCTAGTCTGGTCACTCAGTGCAATTACCTCTATTGTCTTTTGGTTCCTGACTCGGCTTGTATTTTGACCCTGCTTTCCTCTCTTGTCCTTTTGACTCGGCTTGTCTCTCGCTTACCTGATCTCTCGTTCCCTCGACCTCGGCTTGTCTCTGACTATTCTTTTGCTTTCTCCTTACGTTAGTCCGGCCATTCTAAGGTCCGGTATACGTACCTATCCCCTGTTTGTATTCTGCGTGTTGGATCCCTGTCACGATCCTGACATTACGACAGGGCCAATGGATCCTGCAGGTACAAACTCTCAGGTCGGTTCTCCTGACTCTAGATTTGAGGCCATGGATCATAGAATGGACCAGATGGCTCTAGCTCTGCAAGCATTGCTATCTCGTCCTAGTAGTCACTCAGAGGAGATGCGTACCCCATCTATCTCTCCTATAAGTACAGGCCTAGAGGTAGCCACAGTGGCTACTTCTTCCCGTGTTACGTCCCCGTCACGCTATGGCGGCGCTCCTGACACTTGTCGAGGTTTTTTAAACCAGATAGGTATTCATTTTGAATTACAACCCCACGCCTACCCTACTGACAGGGCAAAGGTTGGATTTATAATTACCTTGCTCATTGACAAGGCACTTAGATGGGCTAACCCCCTGTGGGAAAATGATAACCCGTTAGTTTATAATTATAATGCTTTTGTCGCTGCATTTAGGAGAGCTTTTGACCCTCCAGGAAGAAAGGCCAATGCAGCTAGACTACTGTTACGTCTTAGACAGTATAACCGAACCCTAGTGGATTATGCCTTGGAGTTCAGATCCTTGGCAGCAGAGGTCAAGTGGAATGAACAGGCTTATATGGACGTATTTATGAACGGGTTATCTGATGAGATTTTAGATGAGGTGGCCACAAGAGATCTTCCTGAAAATTTGGAGGATCTGATTTCATTTATTTCCCGAATAGATGAACGTATGAGACAGAGGCAGAATATTCGGGATAGAACCCGCAGATCCTCCATAAGACTAGCTCCCTCATTTCAGACTTCTGATTCTACTACTTTAGCTCTCCCAGAACCTATGCAAATAGGTCATACTCGACTCTCAGAGGAGGAAAGACAGTACAGGAGAAGGGAGGGTCTTTGTATGTATTGCGGAATTAGAGGTCACCTACGCCTAAATTGCCCTAACCGGCCGGGAAACGCTCGCACCTAAGTTTCTCAAGAGGACAGGCCTTGGGTGTTTCTATCTTGTCCTCTATTTATGATTATAAAGATCATAGGCTTCTGATACCTGTTTCTTTAGCTTGGGAAAAGGGAGTACTTAATGCTATGGCTTTGATAGATTCCGGAGCAGCTGAAAGCTTTATTGACCAAGCCTTTGTCACTAACCATTCTATCCCATCTCAGCTAAGGGATACACCCTTGGCCGGTGAGGCCATAGATGGTAGACCATTATCTGAACCTGTGATTTTTCGTGAAACCATACCAATTAAGTTAACCACTGGTATCCTTCACGAGGAAAGAATATCCCTCATGCTGATCTCATCTCCTTCAGTTCCTATAGTCTTGGGGTATCCCTGGCTTAAGAAGCATAACCCTATCATTGACTGGGAACTGGGTGAGATAGTCTCCTGGGGTCAGGGTTGCCAGAAAGGATGTGTGCAGAAAGTCTCACCAATTTGCAGGGTTGACGCCCCGGTTAACTCTTCCCAACCTACAGATTTACAGATACCATCACAGTACCAGGATTTAAAGGCAGTCTTTGACAAAAAGAGGGCTGATACTTTACCTCCACATAGGTCTTTCGACTGTAAAATTAGACTCCTACCTGGTACTATGCCTCCGAGGGGTACGGTATATCCTTTATCCACTAAGGAAAACTTAGTCCTAGAGGAGTACATACGTGAAAACCTAGACAAAGGTTTTATTAGGAGATCATCTTCTCCGGCCGGGGCCGGTTTCTTTTTTGTAGATAAAAAAGACGGCACTCTACGGCCTTGCATTGATTATCGGGGCTTGAATAAGATAACTGTTAGAAATGCTTATCCTATTCCTTTAATTACTGAGCTCTTTGATCGACTGAAAGGCTCCAAGATTTTTACCAAGTTAGATTTGAGGGGAGCTTATAACTTGGTGAGAATTCAGCAGGGAGACGAATGGAAAACAGCTTTCAATACCCGTTATGGCCACTATGAATACACGGTAATGCCCTTCGGGCTTTGCAATGCACCTGCAGTATTCCAGGACCTTATTAATGAGGTTCTTAGGGAATTTCAGCATGAATGCGTTATAGTATATTTGGATGATATACTAATACACTCTAGAGAGATTGAGACTCACCACAGACAAGTCAGAAGGGTACTGCGCAAACTGTTACAACATGGATTGTACTGCAAATTGGAAAAGTGTAGCTTCGACCAATCTCAGATAAACTTTCTTGGCTACGTTATTTCTGGAGACGGATTTAGGATGGACCCCATTAAACTCCAATCGATTTTAGATTGGCCATTGCCCAGGGGACTCAAGGCCATTCAGAGATTTATCGGATTTTCCAATTATTATAGGCGCTTCATTAAAGGTTACTCTTCTATTATTGCTCCTATTACTAATATGACTAGACAGGGGCTGATACCAAGACTTGGTCCACAGAGGCTCTCTCTGCTTTCAAAACTCTCAAGGAACATTTTGCCTCAGCACCGATATTAGTTCATCCTGACACATCTTTGCCTTTTTTACTCGAGGTTGACGCCTCGGAGACAGGTATAGGCGCTATCTTGTCCCAAAGGCTAGGTTTGGATAAACCGTTACATCCTTGTGGTTTTTTTTCCAAGAAATTATCTGGGCCTGAAAGTAGATATGACATTGGTGATAGGGAACTGTTAGCGGTCATTATGGCTTTAAAGGAATGGAGACATTTGTTGGAGGGGACATTATACCCGGTTACTATTTTGACTGATCACAAGAATTTGTCCTACATAGGGGAGGCCAAGCGCTTGTCCGCCAGGCAAGCTCGTTGGTCCTTGTTTCTGACACATTTCAATTACGTGCTCACTTATAGACCTGGTTCTAAGAACTCTAAGGCAGATGCATTGTCCCGTCAACATGAACCCTCTACGGTGTCTGAAGCAGCTTTGTCTTCTATCGTTCCTAAGTGTAATATTATTGCCAACACTTGTGTCAGGATACACTCGCCGTTGCTTGCTGAGATCAAGAAAGTACAACATCTAGCTCCCAAACCTGTTCCTGGGGATCGATACTTCGTTCCTCCTGAGCTCCAAGTGGAACTGCTGCATTGCTTTCATGACAGTAAAATTGCTGGGCACCCCGGCACACGCAAAACGTGTTCCCTGATTTCTAAAGATTTCTGGTGGCCTTCCCTTCGTAAGGATATAAGGGATTTCGTCAGGGCATGTGCTGTCTGTATGAAGACTAAGCAACCTCACGCGCTCCCTTGTGGACTTTTGCATCCCTTAGAAATTCCCGAGAGACCATGGTCGTGTTTGGCTATGGATTTCATTGTCGATTTGCCTGTTTCTAAAAAACATACTGTTATTCTCACGGTGATTGACAGGTTTACTAAAATGGCTCATTTCGTGCCCTTGCCTAAACTGCCCTCGTCTCCCGAATTAGCTGAGATATTCGCGAGGGAGATTTTTCGTCTACATGGTATTCCCTCTGAAATTGTTTCTGATAGAGGTTCCCAATTTGTTTCCCGCTTTTGGAAGTCTTTCTGTTCTCACTTAGGCATCAAGTTGAACTTCTCCTCTGCCTATCATCCCCAGTCCAACGGAGCTGCCGAACGCACCAACCAAAAGATTGAACAATATTTGCGTTGTTTTGTTTCTGAACACCAGGACGATTGGGTTGGTCTGATTCCTTGGGCAGAGTTTGCACACAACAATCTCGTTTGTGATTCTACTCGTTCTAGCCCCTTTTTCTTGAATTATGGCTTTCATCCTTCCATTCTTCCGTCGGTTTCCCCTTCCCAAGGGGTTCCGTCGGTTGATGTTCATGTCGCCAATCTGAGAAAGTTGTGGGATCAGACTCGACGAATTCTTCTTCAGAATTCCATGGTGTTCAAACGACACGCTGACAAACGGAGACGGGTGGCTCCGGTTTTTGCCCCGGGTGATAGGGTGTGGTTGAGTACCAGAAACATCCGCTTGAAGGTTCCTTCCATGAAATTTGCCCCTCGTTACATAGGCCCTTACAAGGTTCTGTGTCGGATTAACCCGGTTGCATATCGTCTTGCCCTTCCGCCTGCCCTGCGCATCCCTAACTCTTTTCATGTTTCTTTATTGAAGCCTTTGGTTTGCAACAGATTTTCCTCCCCTGAGTCCTCCCCTCTCGCTGTCCAGGTTGAGGGTCAGGAGGAATATGAAATCAAATCCATTCTCGATTCTCGTATTTCTCGGGGGAAGTTGCAATATCTGGTTGACTGGAAGGGGTATGGGCCTGAAGAAAGGTCTTGGGTGGTCCATGAAAATGTGCATGCCCCTCGTCTCCTCCGGGCATTTCATGCTCGTTTTCCGTCCCGCCCCGGTTCCTTCCGCCCGGTGGGCGTTTCTGAGAGGGGGGGTACTGTCAGGGTACCTTTGGTGTCTACCTCGGAGGAGGTTAGACACCTAGACGTCCATCCTCCCAGGGGGGCTGACTCACCCGATCCTTGCACTCCTCCCGGTCGTTTACACGCCGGCCGCGATAGCTCCGCCTCCTTTTATGACGCGGCGCTCAGTAGCCGACGTCATGACGGCAATCACGTTCCGACCCGTCAATCACGGCAACCAAGTGCCGAACAACCAATCAGGACCCGTTGGGGGCGGAGCCAACAGTTAAAGAGCCAAGGTATAAAAAAGGGTTCTGTGGAATGATTCATTGCCCTGTCGTGGTTCTAGCTAGTCTGGTCACTCAGTGCAATTACCTCTATTGTCTTTTGGTTCCTGACTCGGCTTGTATTTTGACCCTGCTTTCCTCTCTTGTCCTTTTGACTCAGCTTGTCTCTCGCTTACCTGATCTCTCGTTCCCTCGACCTCGGCTTGTCTCTGACTATTCTTTTGCTTTCTCCTTACGTTAGTCCGGCCATTCTAAGGTCCGGTATACGTACCTATCCCCTGTTTGTATTCTGCGTGTTGGATCCCTGTCACGATCCTGACAGTGGGTATATGATAATTGGCCACTATATTAACATTAACAATATTTGCATTTTGCCCATGACAAAACCTCTGCGTTAGAGAATTTTAACAAGACCTCAGCACTGTTTTAATTTTTTTCAATAGTAGCAGCTAACAAATGGAGCAAAGAAAGGAAAGGTAAAGCAGTTAGGTGTTTTTCGGAACTTAGCGGCACGTAACATTATTAACAAAGCCCGCTCGGAATCCCCTACTATAATGAATTTAGTAAGGAAACTTACCTGGTTGGCAGCTAATCAACAGTTCTGTGTATATTGCATCCATGTACCAGGCATTCTGAACAACGCAGCTGATGTTCGGTCACGTTCTAATTTACAGGAATTTTTCAGACTACATCCTACAGCGCACGTTGAGCCCAGAGAACCTCCACAATTCAAAGACCTAATTATGCTTTAAATCTGTTGTTAAAACACAGTAGGTCACTTGCACAGGCTGGTTTGTCAATTAACACAAAAAAGGTTACGCTAGAGCATATGGTGTGTTTAAGAAGTTTGTGTAAGACTTTAATGCAATAAATATTTTTTCTATAGAAACCATGGTTGCATTCACAACTTTTCGCCACATCGCTATGAAACTAGCATACAATACCATTAAACTATACTTAACATCAGTGCCGGCCTTAGGGGTGTGCGAGCTGTGCGGCCGCACAGGGCTCCATGGAGCAGGAGGCGCCGTCTGGCCGCACAGCCGGCCAGAATTTTAATTTTTTTTTTTTAAATTGTGGCGGGGCGGAGCTTCCTGTGCGATGGGGGTTTTGCTAAGTGCCGGATAACTGCTGCAGGGGAAGCAGGAAGGAGTCCATGCTTTCCCCACCAAACGGTCTCCAGGAGCTGCACTGCCTCCACAATGAACTCCACAGGTAACTGTGTGATTGTCAGTGAGTGTGACTGGCTGTATCTCTGTGACTGTCTGTCTCAGTGTGTGTGTGTTTGTGTGTGTATGACTGTCTGCCTGTGTGTGACTGTGTGTGTGTGTCTGTGTGTATGACTGCCTGTGTTTGTGTGTGCGTGTGGCCGTCTGCCTTTGTGTGTTTGTGTGGCCGTCTGCCTGTGTGTGTTTATGTGGCCGTCTGCCTGTGTGTCTTTATGTGGCCGTCTGCCTGTGTGTCTTTATGTGGCCGTCTGCCTGTGTGTCTTTATGTGGCCGTCTGCCTGTGTGTGTGGATGGCCGGCCTCTGTGTGTGGATGGCCGTCTGCCTCTGTGTGTGGATGGCCGTCTGCCTCTGTGTGTGTGTGTGTGTGTGTGTGTGTGTATGTATGTGGCTGTCTGCCTGTGTGTATGTATGTAGCTGTCTGCCTGTGTGTATGTATGTGGCTGGCTGCCTGTGTGTATGTATGTATGTGGCTGCCTGTGTGTGTGTGTGTGGCTGTCTGGCTGTGTGTGTGGCTGTGTATGACAGTCTGGATGTAAGTATGTGTGTGTAAGACTGTATGTGTGGCTGTCTGCCTGTAATTGTGTGTGAGTGTGTTTATCTACCTGTAACTGTGTATGTGTGTTACTGCCTTTACCTGTGTGTTTCTGTCTGATCCTGTGTATGTGACTATCTGCCTGCGACTATGTGCATGTGGTGGATTTGACAGTGCATATTTATAACTGTGTGCATCTGACTGTGGGAATATGTGCACATGACTCTGCAAAAATATACCCCTGCATTCACACACAGGCCTAAATGCATGTTTTTATCTGAATCAAATAACCATCACACACAGCCATCACATAGCATACATATCACACACAGTCATCACATCTATCACATACACAGACAACACAAACATTACATCATACATGGATGACGGGGGGGAGGCGCTGTGAAGATTTATCGCACAGGGTGCCTAAATTTATTGCACAGGGTGCCTTTTCGAAGACCCCACAAATTTGGTAATTAAGTCAACAGCATATTTAGCATTCTACGGATTCCTGAGACCCAAAGAATTTTCTGTGGAAAAGTCATCCGACTTTAAGTCATGAATTAAGCAAAAATTCTTAACAAAAGTAAAGGACCATTATATACCACATACTAAAACTAGCCAGACAGGCCCCCCAGTAGAAATGATATATTATCCTACTTTTTCCAAATGGTGTCCAGTACAAGCATTGGACAAGTAAATTAAAAAACATCAGATCATAAAAAACCCCCAATTACCCACTATTATTTCTACAAGGGAAACCTCTTACCACTAAACAATTCATACTATACACAAACGCACTATTACTCAGATTAGTCCTCAATCCAGCCTCCTTCTCAGGTCATTCATTCCTTATTGGGGCAGCCACAGCAGCTTCTAGTAACCATGTTCCGACACATATCATTAAGAACATAGGATGCTGGAAATCCTCTGCATACAACAGGTACATTCCAAACCCAGAGAAAGAAATCAGACTTGCTTTCTACAATATGTCTAAATAATTGTTATTTGTGGAATATAAATAAAATAGTTTAATTTTTTTCCCTTTTTATTGCAGGTCTAACCTCTCGTCTTTTGTTCTTATCGGATTACATACTTTTAATTATACGTCCTATCATTATCCCATACACAAATACACACACACACACTGAACAAAATTATAAACGCAACACTTGTTTTTGCCTCCATTTTTCATGAGCTGAATGCAAAGATCTAAGACTTTTTCTATGTACACAAAAGGCCTATTTCTCTTAAATATTGTTCACAAATCTGTCTAAATCTGTGTTAGTGAGCACTTCTCCTTTGCCGAGATAATCCATCCACCTCACAGGTGTGGCATCTCAAGATGCTGATTAGACAGCATGATTATTGCAAAGGTGTGCCTTAGGCTGGCCACAATAAAAGGCCACTCTAAAATGTTCAGTTTTATCACACAGTACAATGCCACAAATGTCGCAAGTTTTGAGGGAGCATGCAATTGGCATGCTGACTACAGGAATGTCCACCAGAGCCGTTTCCCCATGCATTCAATGTTCATTTCTCTACCATAATCCGTCTCCAATGGCATTTCAGAGAATTTGGCAGTACATCCAATCGGCCTCACAACCACAGACCACCTGTAACCACACAAGCCCAGTACCTCCACATCCAGGATCTTCACCTCCAATATCCAAGGTTTGCATAACCAAAGATTTTCTGCACAAACTGTCGGAATCTCTCTCAGGGAAGCTCATCTGCATGCTCGTCGTCCTCATCGGGGTCTTGACCTGAATGCAGTTCCTCGTCATAACTGATTTGTGTGGGCAAATGCACACATTTGATGGTGTCTGGCTCTTTGGAGAGGTGTTCTCTTCACCAGTGCTGGTGCCGCACCCCCATATGTTCTGCCCACCATGTGACATCACAATGCAGGCACAGGCTATAGACACCAGAACCACTACATTAAGCTGTAGTGGTTCTGGAGACTATACTGGCCCTTTAATGTGTAAGGTGTAAATTAGAGATTAGGACCACTAATAATATATTGGATTGCCTACTTACCACCAGATGAGGACAAGAGGATGACGATGGGTTCAGGCTGCAGTCTGGCTCCACAGTTTTGGTGTAGAAGAAGCTCTCTGGAGACTGTAACAGTGCTCACAACAAATAATGAACAGGAAGCAGTTCCATTTTTGGGGCCCCTTACACAGCTCAAGGTCTGGGCCCCCCAGACCCAGGATTTCGCTCACAGGGAGTGGATTGTATGTGTGTAGGGGATATGTTATGTGTTATTGTAAAGGATGTAGTGTTTCTGGGTGGTTGTTTGTGTGTGTAAGGAATGCAAGGTGTGTTTCTGTGTATGTAATTTAATGCAGTGTGTGTGTATGTGTAAGGGATGCATTGTGTTTTTGTGTATATGTAAGGATGCATTGTGTATGTGTGTAGTGTAAAAGAGAGGGTTTGTGGGGTAGGATAGGTGCTGAGAGGAGAGCAGCCCTTTTTTTTTTTATATAAATAGTGCTCTCCACTCCTATCAATTAGTGATCTCTCCTCCCCTCCTGACCCTTAGTGCTCTCCCTTGGCGGCTTGTCCCTTAGTGATATTCCTTCCCCTCCAGTCCATTAGTGCTCTTCCCACCCGTCCTGTCCCTTAGTGATCTCCTCTACCACTCCATCCTTAGAACTCTCCCCTGCCCCTGTCCTTTAGTGGTCTCTCCCCTCTCTTCCCTGTCCTTTAGTGGTCTCTCCCCACTCTTCCCTGTCCCTTAGTGGTCTCTCCCTACTCTTCCTTGTCCCTTAGTGGTCTCTCCCCTCTCTTCCCTGTCCCTCTTTCTTCCTCTTCTTATTGGTCCTCTCACTCCCCTCTTAGTGGTCCTCCTCCTCTTCCCCCATCCCCATATTGGTCCTCCCCCCCCATCCCCTTAGTGGTCCTCCCTCTCCTAAACCTCCAGTCCCCCCTCTTCCCCCTTGGTGGTCCGCTCACATCCCCTCCCCCCTTAGAGGTCCTCAGCTCCTTGGTAGTCCTCCCCCTCCTTCCCTACCCCTTAGTGTTCCTGCCTCCCTGTTGTGCCTCTTACTTATGTAGCGTGGCCAGGCGGCGTGGACATGGAGACTCAATTTGAAAGGCTTCTGGGCTCTGCTGGACGATCTAAACCAGACAATGAATTGCAGCTTCTGATACAAGCATACTATTGTACCACCTGAGCCAAGATGGTGGCTGCTGAGCCTGTTACCGCACACACAAGACACTTGAGCAACAACTGGATGATCTCCTCCACAGATTCTGGCACAAAGCTATGGAGCAAAAAAGACCAAACTCAGAGAGCAGCGGAGAAATCCTAAGCAGCAATACTTACCTCCCAACAATCCGCAGAAGTGGAAACTGCTGACAGCGCCAGAGTCTAGGACGCCTGTGAGAAAAAAAACATGTAAAGTCCAACGACCTGCTACTGCCTTTCTGGGCTGAGGACCCGGAGGGAAATACCCCAATGCTTACCCCACATGCTCAGAGGGTACACCACCACCTTACAACCTCCCGAGACCTCGCATGCGGAGCTGAGAGCTACTGGAGAAGTGGGACTTGCACATGGGCACTTGAGAAGGCCTGGGTGGCCAACACTGAACTACTGGAACACTGTAACCATGCTATCCAGCATGGGTATAGGGTAAAAGCTTGTGGTAGCAGGGCAGAATGAGCACGTTTATGTCATGTTAACTATAGCTCTTTTCCTCCACACTTGCCCTTCCTCGTGGGGGCAGTCACCATGGTTCCTACCAACCGTAGAGCTCGAACACTCAGAGTGCTTTATTTTATGTTTTCAACATTAGTTTGGCATAGCACAAGTTGTCAATAAAAGCACTCTGACCCACTAGACCACATGTTTTGCCACTGAGCTGGCATACCGATCATCCTGAACTTATCCACCAAATCAGAGCATAGCTTGTAGGGATCAACCGATTATCGGTCTGTCCGATATTTGGTATTTTTGGCAATATCGGTATCGGCCAATAAAGATCGATATTGCCGATAATACATACCAGGACCGCCAGGCCCATTACAAGCCCGGCTGTCCTGGGGGACCAGGCAAATGCTTAATTACCTTCCCAACAACTCCATTCAGCTCCCCTGTCTTACTCTTGCGAGTCCCACAGCTTTCAGAGCGGTGCCACGGGTTACCATGACAACACTCCGCGAGGCATACCGACTGCGAGATTTAGACAGGGGAGCTGAAGGGAGCTTCTGGGAAGGTAAGTAAGCGCTTGCTGGGCCCCCACTGCACAGTCCATGCCACCGGACCACCAGGGAATGCCATATGCCCCCTTCCTGGCCAGGTAACAAGCAGGGAGGGGGGACAAAAACATTTTTTTTAAATATTTAATAAAAAATTAAATAAAAAATGCCCCCCCCCCAAATTACATACCTGCAGAAAAACCACACACACTGAATTATATAAACACACTACACAAACACTGCATTCGCTATACACTGCATCCACTTTATGCACACTACACACACACACTGCATTCACTTTACGCGCACTACACACACACTGCATCCACTACATGTGGCATGTATATTTTGTTCATTTACCTTTAGAAAAATATTTTTTTGTTTTTTTTAAAATGGTAAACGTACAGAATATCGGTAAGTTATCGGCCTGAAAGTTCACAGATTATTGGTATCGGCTCTAAAATATCAATATCTGTTGATTCCTAATAGCTTGGCTATATTATATTACTAGTTAATTCACATAGAATGAGGCAGTTACTCATGGGAAATGTTATCTATGTTGTTGTAAACTGATTTTCTATTCTGTTACTGCTGATACAACACCACTTTTTTCAGTAATGCCCATCTGATTGACCAAAAAAATTAATTAAAAAATTTGAATTACATGTAAAACCAATTTCAACCAACAACTTACCCACAGAATGGTAGAAAAGCAATTACATTAAATCACTCTAATGCTGCATCTGTGGTGTAAATGACTGTACTACAAGCATGTCAAACTCGCATGCGGCCCACAAGGACCATATTTGCGGCCCGGCGAGCCGCGAGTACATGCTGGTGTTATAGCAGAGTAGGCACCTGCTTTCCCCATATTGCAGGTGCCTACTCTGCTAAAAGCTACCCGGCCGGGAGGAGGGACGCGACGGAGCTCAGCCTTCCAGCTCCTCGCTCGCCGACTGAAGTGAAGCCGGCGTCGGAATATGACGTCATATTCCGGAACCCGGCATCACTAATCCGCACAGGAGCAGTGAGGAGCAGGAAGGACCCCAGAGAGATGCCCCACATCGGCTCCAAAAGGTAAGGAGCAATAAGGAAAAGTATGTGTATGCAAGAATGTGTAAGTGTGTGAGTGTGTGTCTGTCTGTCTGTGAGTGTGTGTCAGCAAGTATGTGTGAGTATATGCGTGTGTGTGTCTGTATGTGTCTATCTGTGAGTATGTGTGTGTGTGTGTGCGGCCCACATAAACTTAAACCTTGTTTATGTGGCCCTTGCCACACTTTGAGTTTGACATGCTTGCTGTACTATGTTAGTATCCAAATGCAAAATCGAAAAGAGCACACAAATTGATAGCTGATGTAAGATGGGTGCTAGTAAGTAATAAAAATAAAATCTAGATCGTTATTCCTGTGATACAAGAGTAATTTTTAATATAACAATTGTTCACCTTTGTTAATCAGTAAGACCACGTATATATCAAATCTTAGTTACCACAGTGCTAGAAGAGCCAATTCCATTAACTGAATGTCTTAATACAGAAGACTAATTTAGCAATTTTAAGTGTTTTTTTTTTAGCATAACTGCCAATCTTAATGCATTGCTTAAAAGTTAAATCTATTGACACATTTACTGTAGCAATGCTAGTGCACTGGGCAATGAGATACAATTGGACTTTTGAGGGAGTGAGCTGTGAGAGGAGTAAAATATAGTACAGGTAGTGTCCCAGAAAGTCTTGTAACGTGAAATCAAAACTTCTATCATAGAATGCCTTGTGGCCCAGCTTCAGATTAATCTCAGACAATTCTCACTGGAAAACAAAACCACAGGAATTTAATTATGATCTACTACATTTATCAAAGAACAATTACCAACAGTGATGTACACATGATAGAAAACAAAAACAAAACAAAAAACACAATATATATATATATATATATATATATATATAAAAACACACAAGATTTAGCACACTAGCTCATTTACTAAATAAGTTCAAGTCTCACAGAATGTAGTAGTTTTATTAAAAACACCTCACCTAGGTAAGAATAATTGTGTCATGCTTACTCACATTTCTGGGCGTGTTCCTACTTCCAGTCTCCACTCTAGCGGTTCCAACACCAGCCGCTGTAGCTCCGCCTCCTTTTATGACACGGCACGCACACGCCAACGTCATGATGCTAGTGACGACATTGCACGCGTGCGTGCTGATGTCATGACGCAAATGACGTCACAGCCCGCCAAAACTTTCAAACTTGGATGTTTTGGGGGCATGGCTTCAAATGTAAAAGTCCAGCCTTTAAAAGGCAGATAAAACCATAGTTCTTTGCCCTGTTGTGGTTCTATTCACAGTTCCCAATAGTGCTTTGCCTTTCAGTGTATTGTTGTGTATTGACCTTGTCTTCCTGACTATTCTTACTTCTGTGTTCCTGACCTGGCTTTGGTATCTCACTACTGTGTTTTCTGGTTCCCTTGACTCGGCTTGTAATCCTCGATTCTGTGACTTCTGGCTCCCATGACCTTGGCTTGTTCCTTGCCACCATTCTTTATCTGTCTAACGTTAAGTCCGGCCATTCTAAGGCCCAGTATACATTTTCTTTTACATCCTGCGTGTTGGGTCTCTATGGATTCCTAACAAATGGAGGTTTAGTTAGAGTATATGATCATACATTGCATAATCCTGCCACAAGGTCAATGTGACCCATTCTTTTGGAAGGTCCTACTCTAGCATCCTAATGCCTGCTCTGACGCCTGGGGGAAATGACACGATTTGATGGTGGTAGTTTTGCCTACTGTAAAGCATTGTCAGGAAGAGGGAAAGTACTGAGCCACAGTAGTCCCTATTTTACACTTATATTTTCTAAACTTTGATTCTTTCATAGAAAAAAAAAAAAGATTTTAATCTTTGCATGTATCAAGAATGTAAACAGTTAAAATAAATGAACCTATGTATGGGAAGTTAAAGCGACGTTCTAGACTGCAGCTGACCAGTTTTATGGTCTTTTACGGATCTTTTAATGGTGCTTCAAGAGTCTTAGGGCGTCCTATGATTTCCATCTGACTTTTTTTTTTTTTGAGAGAGAGAGCCCACACTTTTGCATATATATATATCTATAAATACCAAGGGTTTTATATGGGGTTTTTATTTCGAAGGGTAGTCAAATAACCACCAAATGCAAAAAAAACTGGAAAAAATCCCCACCGAGCGAAAAAATTAGCTTTGTGTGGGTTACACCTTTTGTGCATTTCAATTTTTTGGAATAGTCATTTGATGTATTGCCCAGCTATTCCATCAACAAAGTCTACCCCTCCACACCACAGAAATTGGACAACACTGAGCTCAACAACAAATTTACTAGATATAATTAAAGACGGCTCTCACATGTCTATACAACATGTCTGAAGAAGACACATATTTAGTCTTGAAAGCAGGCAAATAATAGTTAGCCAGATATCTTAGGTATTTCTTTATTCTCCTGTATTCTTACGACTAACAAGGGGCCACTCATTACTGGCTCTCTCAAAACACTAAGCACACCATGTTTATATAAAAAAGCAGACCCATCGTTGACCTATTAATGCGGTCAGTAGATCTGAAACATCTTCCTACCTGCATTTTAAGAATGTATTTCATTAGGTTTTACTTTGGGAACTCTTCCAAGTGCATAGAATTCCTCGTTAGGTCGCAAATCCATCAAGTGTGCAAGACGATTAGCCATGGCAAAGAAGGCGGTGATCGCAGCAATATCCCAAGCATCATCACGGTTCAAACCGTGCTTTTCCAGCTGTTGGAAATGGTTTTCAGTGATATTCTCTGGTTTGGCAATTGCTAAAGCAAACTCCACCATCGCACGTTCTCGTTCATTGAGTTCTGCCAGATCCCAATTGACAACAACCTGGAAAAAGAATCAATAAAAATAAAATATAGAATAAAAAGAGGTTCATGTTTTTATACCTCATGTTTTTTTGTTTGTTTTTTTAAACAAACGTACTCTATGAAACATCAGACTACCAGCAAATGTATATAAATGAATAGGTATGTATATATTTTTTCACGTGTTCTCGTAATGTCTTGATTATAACCACCCATGTTGGTGCACTGTATTTGTCTTATCAACTGTTAATACACTGGGTAAATTTCATATCCAGCACATCATCTATAACATTGCTAGCATTTTGTCTAACAAACATTATCTATATCACATAGATGCTCTTAAAAGTGCCATTCTAAACAACATGAGGATTACAGCTTTCATTTGTGGTTATGTTGTCTATGCATTTAGCAGTTTTTTTTGTTTGTTGGAGTGTCCCAGTCCACCCACCAAAAAATCTCCTTGCAGTTTTGGTTACATACGAACAAGTGTTCTTATCTCACGGCTTGTCCTTTCCTAATGCTCTACATCATGACTCACAATCATGGGACAGCAAGGTCCCTAGCAGTATCTGGGTATGCAGATTCTTGTATAGCACACAATACCTCTCAACACCAGGAAAGCTGATTTAAAAAAAAAAAAAAAAATACCCTTTCATATTTTTTATTATTTCAATTGTTGAACTATGATAACACATACAATACAAACTGGCACACAAGGAGTATGTCCCTTTACTTGTGAGCTTACAATCAAGTGGGGTGGAAGGAGAATGTGACAATTAATGATGAGAAGGGAGAGATAATTTGGAGATCAGATAAAAGATTTGTTAACTTTCAGGAATCAGTAAGGACGTAAGCTTCTCTGGATCAGTGGGAACGCATAGTAGTTTAAATCTTTGGGCTGTTTGTTCTGATGGCAAGAGTAGGAGGAAGTAATGAGAGAATATCAAATAGAAGTGTGGAGGGTGTATGTCAGTAGAACTCACATTGGAATGAGCAGTTCATTAATGGTTCAAAGAAGGGATGCAAAGAACACATACAGTAATGCTAAACATGAAGTGGTTGCTACTCAAGTTCAGTTCCCTAATACGTTAAAAAAGTGTTAAAATTGACCAGTGCTTATTTTTAAAACAAACAAAAAATAGGCATATGGCCACTCACACTTCCATATATCCCAACCAATCCATGGTGATTTAAATAGAGATGGAATTTAATTGAATCCTAAGAAGGAATTTATGCTTAAGGCTTTCTAACTTCAGTGAAAGTGTGAGTGGCCATATGTGAACACAACACTTGTGGTTTATTCATATATACAGTTATACGCTATTTTGTTTTGTTTGTCAATGGTTTAGCAGATCATCCCCTATTTTTTGTTTATATTCCGTGGAAGAAAGGAGGAAATCTTTGGGGATATTATTGGAAGCTTCACCCTATACAGTGAGGTTTCTTTCTGCTTATATTTAATTGAGCACTTATTGCACTGTGGTTTGTGCACACATATATTGTTTCCTTTGCACTTATTTTTAAAATGACTGCTAGCATGATGTATAGGTTATACTACGTGATACACATAAGCAGATTATCGTGCAGAAAATGAAGTGTTGTATTTTAATACTGAATGGTATTCTGCATCAGACTCCGTTTTTATTAATTTACCTGATCAGCCAAGGCTGGTTTCTTTGAATATATTCTGTGCAGTGCACCGTGAGCAGTCACACAGTAAGGGCACTTGTTGTGAGCGCTGGTAGCTACAATAACAAGCTCTTTGTCAGCCTTGGATAGATTGCCTGCAATAAAAAAAATATATAATTTATTATTATTACTCTCCCTCGACTTTAAGTGCATAGCAAAATATGCCTGACCTTGCAGAAAAATTAATTTTTCTAGATATATACACATATATTTGTTAAAAATATTCCAGCTAAGAAAGGACTTTGACCAACTGGGGGTCAAAATAAAATGTAAGTGTCACAAATCCTAAAGAACACAAAAAGGCCTGCATTTGGCACAACTTTGAACATGATGGATTCGCCAAAGCATAGTGGCAGAAAGCCCTACTACGTCCTCATTAAAATCATCCTGTACTGAAACCTTGGTAACAGGCCTTCCTTGACAGAATATGGTAAACAGCGGATTCTAGGTAAGTGTATTTGTTTTCGTTCTAATACAATTTTGTCCGAAAATTTGTTTTTTTTCCGTATTCGTTTACTAAAATGTAAATGAAAGCCCTACAAACAAAATATAAACGAAAGGACAAATGCCAAATGCTTTACCTTTCCGTTTAGTTTGTTTAATAGACTGCGTGCTGCAGGGGAATTAACCCCCACATCACGGAGAAATAACAGTGCGCATGCACGAAAACAAGAACAAAAGGAGGGAGCCGGCATCGCTACCAGCTCTCTCCTTGTAATAAATATTCCAACAACCCCACCTCTGCATTAATACCTATGGGGGTCACTATGACCACCATATTAATAAAAGGGAGGTTAAATCCTCCCGCAGGCCCCTACTTGCGGTATGCCGCGAGTAGGGGCATGTTGCCTAAACATTTCAAATGTTGCCTAAACATTTCAAACTAAATATAATTCAGTATGAGGGTCACTATGACCCCATATTGATGAAAGGGAGGTTAAATTCTCCCGCATGCCCCTACTCGCGGCATGCTGCGAGTAGGGGCATGTCGCCTAAACAAATTTAAAACTACTAGTGACTGGGCAGCTCCCTTTTATCAATATGGGTGTCATAGTGACCCCCATACAGATTTATATGTAGTGTTAAATGACAACATGGGCAACATGCCCCTACTCGTGGCATGCCACGAGTAGGGGCATGCAGGAGGATATAACCTCCCTATTATTAATATGGGGGTCATAGTGACCTCCATAGGTTTTAATGCAATAGGGGGTGTATGAATAGTTATTTATTACAAGGAGGGAGCTGGTAGTGCTGCCGGCTCCTTCCTTGCTTTTTATGTGCATGTGCAGTGCTGTTTTCGTTTCCTAATGGACGAAAAGTTATTTTTTTACGAATTTTGTTCGAAAACTAATGGTTTGCGGTCAAAATTCAGGATTGACGAATTATATTTTTATTTAGTACGAAATCATTTGTACGAAACGAAAATTTCACTGGTGCACATGTCTAGCGGATTCTGTCTAATTTACCAGGCTTAAATGATTAGTTGACTGATGTGAATTTGACTGCAACACCGTTAAATTCTTTAGCTAATAACGCACATAAAACTGTTAATTGTAGTGTATGATGGTTAACACTTATAAGAAAACATAAATGTAAATTTAATATGTATAAATATAAAATAGTAATTAGAATTCAGGAAATTGTATAGTGATGGCAATTTCAGGTGGGGGATAAAGTAGGAGAGAAGTAGCCCACAGTGTACCTAGAGTAAGAATTCAAATGGTTCTAAAATGGTTTAACTACATGCAGTGGGGTGTAACAGGTCACTCCTGGCACCATAACTTCAGTGCTGTATTGGTTATGGTAATGGACCTGTAACATCACAGAGAGAATCGGAAATATGATAAACAATGACAATAATAGGGTTCGTGGGTAATAGGAATCTAATCAATAAAAAGATTACCAGAGTATTGGTGTTGATCCAAATGGAAGGCAAAATAAAATATCATTGAGAGAAAAAAAAAAAAAAAAAGTGTTCCAAAACAGAAAATAAATCAATCAGTTTGCAGAAGGCAATTTCCACTGCACATCTGATGCAGTACTAGAAGAAGAATATTAACCTTTATTATTTTTTTAAAAATATATTTACTTATCCCAGAACAAATAGGGTGGGGGGATAAGGAACGAGGTCTCAAAGCAAGGGGTGTGCTGGTGAACAGCAATCACCATACATTACTCACATGTTATAGAGGAGAGTAAATAAAATATTACAGGATTCGTTATAAATCGGATTAAATCGCAGAGCTCACAAATCTTAGTGCTACTAGTTGTCATTCATTTATATCTGTATACCTGTTTCTTTATTCATAAGACAATCATAGTACGTGAAAAATGCTCTGAACTCATCTGGTCGGTGTGCCATTGCTTTAAAGACATTTGGCAAAAATCCACCCTACAAAGAGCAAGAAAAGGCAATGTTACCAACGATCTAAAAAAAGAGCAGCAATCATACTGACGAATAGCTAAACCATCTATTTCAATAATATCAATTCACACACATATTCTGGAAATTTAAAATAGAGCACTAAAAATTAGTTTCTAATGTGCATCTGTGACTGTAGACATGTTAAAGTAACATTGAAGATTACATTATTTCATCTATACATTATACAAGCAGAATTGCCATTAAGTGATCAAGTTTTCATTAAAGGGACACTATAGTCACGAAAACACGTTTAGCTTAATGAAGCAGTTTCTTTTTATGCAGCCCTAGCCACACCTCCCCTGGCTGTGACTCACACAGCCTGCATGGGGAAAAAATGGTTTAATCAGATGTAACTTACTAGAGAAGTTTTTAATTGTCTGCTCTGTAAATTGAACTTTAATTACATACAGGAGGTTCCTGCAGGATCTAGCAAGCTATTAACATTGCAGGGGATAAGAAATTCCAAATTAAACAGAATTAGAAGAATCTGTAAATTAAGTTTTTAGGAAGGCTATGTAAGTCACATGCAGGGAGGTGTGACTAGGACTGCATGAGCGCATAGCTGCAAAGTGATTTAACTCCTAAATGGCAAAGAATTTTAGCAGTGAGACTGCAGTAGTGTCGGATCCAGAGCCTAATCTTGGGAGGGGCACTTGTAGCTTATTTAAAGAAATAATAAATAATTTAGGAAACTATAGTGTCCCTTTAAATGTAAAAAAAAAAAAAAAAATTATGATCCCTTACCTGACTGCCAATCAATTGTGTGTGTGTGTGTGTGTCTGTGTAAGTAATTTATTGGCATATTTTAAAGCACTTGCGTATAAAATGTATCATTGTATGATGCCTTGAGTTTTTTTGTTTAAAAACACAGATTTTTGATAAAGCAACCCTTTGTTGGGTGCCCTCCTCCCCAATGTTAAAAAACAAAACAACTTCATCTCATTTCTGTTAACATTATTTGTGTGAAATACTAGCTGTTAAAGAACCCTACTGTATAACTGTAACGCTAAACAGAAAATAATTGGATGGATGAAGACAGGTACTCCAGAACATATAGATAGTCTTCAAATTCTGAATGAGGACTTTGCATATAATCTACAGGCAGGCAAGTCCCTAACTAGGAAGATACTCTTATCCTATAAAACGCTGTCCAACAGAGGTTTATGTAATGCACGGTTTATCCCCAAGAGCAGTTCCACTAGTCACTTAGGATTACTAAAACTGCTCTGTAAACACATATGAGCTATACAGTAGCTGCTATTTGTCTATTTATTGCTTGGTTCACTATGAACACTGATCAACAGTTGTAGACTACAGCTTGGATTTGGAGGAGATAGAGCTCAGTCCAAGTTGTGGATGTACAACGTGCACAAGTTGGACAAAAATCGACATAAGCAGCATAGAATTAGGTGTTTCGGCTGCATGTATTACAGTTTTATGTTGCTATCCTTGAGCTGCAGTGGTTTGTACAAAATAGCTGCAATTCTAAACCACTATCAGAACCAATAGTTGGCCTATGTTGTTCTATGCAGCATCACTTTTGCAATAATGTAATGTTGTGTTGGTGCTTAGAGTGTCTTTCCTCAATTTTAGCACAACCTTGTACAACTTTTTTTTTTAATTTTATTTAGTTTTAAATTCTTTAAACTTACTTGTTTTGCTGGACATAACATTAATGACATTCACATGCTAGCAGTTTTGTACACAAAGCAGATGCGTACATGTGGAGCTGCTGGAAAATATTCAGACTGCCAATGCATGACCCCAGCCGGAGGCTACATACATATACTTTATGTATGTAACATACATTTGTTAACATACCTTCAGTGTGTTACTCATCCTGGTAAAAACTGGAATAGCGTTTACAGAGGCAAATGCACAAGGAATGGTCACTTCTTAGGAAGTGACATTTCCACTTTAGTAATAAATTTTACAAAAACACTGTTTTTGGTTATAACACTTCCTATCCTGATTCCCCTTAAACTTTAAAGATAAATAAATAAAAACCCACCTTACCTCTGTTCCAGCGCAGAGGCCGAATTCTTCCCTGAGCCTGATCCTCCTCACTAACGTCACTCCCCATCAAGGGGAAGGATATCATGGAGAACATGCTGAGGGTAGCACATGGGCAGCACAGAGGAAGGCTTGTTGCTCCATTTGATGCCTGTCGCCAGCATACAGCGCATGGTGATGTCACATGTCCAATATGCACAGACATTAGGCAGCCTAGAGCTATTGTCCCAGATTGGCTAATGATACCTCAATGATGTTACCAGAGGTGGAGTTATACCTCCAGCAGCAAAGAGGATAAACTCGGTATGTACAGCATTTCATAGCTAAACGCTCACATAGTGACACCAGGCATTTCTCTGTGGCTACCTTACCCTTCTTTCTACCTCTTCCATAAGTTCTACCATATCATATGGCAAATCCTTCTTATAAGGTATTGGGTAGCGGCTGACTGGCCTGAAAGAATCTTCAGGTTGTTTGTCGTAAAAAGGTCTTCCTCCTGTTAAAGCTCTGCATGACCGCAATATCCCACTGGATATATTTACTGAAAGATACTGAAATAGAAAACAAAGATGAGAGATATAAAGATAGAGTTATGACATCAAAGCACATAGGCAACATTCTTGAAAAGTTGTGCCGGTGAAATAACGAAGTACAACTATGCCTTTAACTCCTTAGTGACCAGACAGTTTTTCAATTTTCTTACCATTAAGGACCAGGGCTCTTTTATATTTCTGCAGTGTTTGTGTTTAGCTGTAATTTTCTTCTTACTCATTTACTGTACCCACACATATTATATACCTTTTTTTTGCCATTTCTAAAGATACCATTTTTTTCATCATATCATAATTTACTATAATTCTTTTTTTTTATAAAATATGATTTAAAAAAAAAAAAAAAACTTTTTCAAACTTTGACCCCGAAAATCTGGTACACATCTACAACTGCCAAAAAAGCACCTGTGTTAAATAGTTTCTAAATTTTGTCCTGAGTTTAGAAATACCCAATGTTAACATGTTCTTAGCTTTTTTTGGAAAGTTACAGGGCTATAAGTACAAGTAGCCATTTCCAAACCATTTTTTTCAAAATTAACGCAAGTTACATTGTAATACTGATATACAGTAGCTGCTATTTGTCTATTTATTGCTTGGTTCACTATGAACACTGATCAACAGTTGTAGACTACAGCTTGGATTTGGAGGAGATAGAGCTCAGTCCAAGTTGTGGATGTACAACGTGCACAAGTTGGACAAAAATCGTCATTTATTGTCAGGAATCCCTGAATAACCCTTCACATGTATATATTTTTTAAAAGAAGACAGCCTAAGGTCTTAAGCTTGGGGTATTTTGACTCCTTTTACCACCAATCTATGCCAAATTAATTTTTTTTTTTTTTAAATGGTGATTATTTTGACACACATAGCAATTTAAGAATACATGTACTGAGAACTTTAAGGGTTACTGCCAAATAACACCTCAATATGTGTTCAGCAACATCTCCTGAGTACAGTGATACCTCTCATGTATAGGTGTGTCGGGTTCTCTGGGGGCTAAAAGACCTTATTTGGAGGGTGCACATTCCAATTTTACAACTTGGAATTTTAACAGCTGGTCATCATGCACCCATGTCCTATTTGGAACATTTTTGAAGCCGGCCAATGTAATTTACCATTAAACCATATATTTTTGAAAAGTAGACACCCTAGGATATTTGAAATGGTGGTATTTTAACACTTTCCATACACTAATTCTACCACCAGTCTTTGTCAACCTTTTGGGTAGTCATTTTGTTGTGTTATTTTTCACACACACTGTACTTTAGGCATGGATTCTCATCTCCTGTTATGTGTTACTGCCAAAGAACACAATATGTGTTCAGCAACATCACCCGAGTACAATAGTGCCACCAATGTACAGGTTTTATGGGTTTTTGCAAACTTACAGGGATCAAGTGTAGGGGTTTCCCTTTTTCCATGTTTGCACATTGAAATTTGCCAGATTGGCTTGCTGGGCCTATGTTGCCTTTGAGACCGTATAGCAGCCCAAGAATGAAAATTAACCCCATCATGGCATACCATTTGTAAAAGTAGATAACCCATGGTATTCAAAATGGGGTATGTCCCAAACCAACATCCCACTGAGGGATTCACCGCCCTCACACCAAACAAGACAGGAACACAAGTCCGAAAAACCAATATACTAGTTTCGCGACAGTGACTGACTAATCGTGGAACCCACCCCGCATTAACCCCGTTCCGTAGTAATCTCTATACCCACCTCAACAGTGTAGCCAGGAAGGCCTAAGCTATATATGTGGAACCAAAATTGTGTTGTTTACTTGTTCTATTTCCTCATACATGTTAACTTAAGGACTCTGTAAATTGTGACACAAACTCGCCCATGCTTTCGGGGCATGATGAGCCCATGTATTGTATTTTCATATAAACTAAAAATAAAGAATTATAAAAAATAAAAAAAATTGGGTATGTCCAGTCTTTTGTAGTAGCCACTTAGCCACAAATGCTGGCCAAAGTTAGCGTTCATATTTGTTTTCTGCATTATTTTTACACAAAAACTGCAGTTTTACTGGTGATTTCATGGTCGTGATAAGTTTTTCTGTTGTAAACACTCATATTTGTGTTCAGCGAAGTCTCCCGAGTATAACAATACCCCCATGCACAGGTTTTATGGTGGTTTGAAAGTTACAGGGTCAATATAGGGCTTGCCCAATTCAGTTTGCCAGATTGCCATGCTGGGTCTGTGTTGCTTTTTGAAACCATATGGTAACCCAGGAATGTGAAATGACCCCATCATGGCATACCATTTTCAAATGTAGACAACCCAGGGTATTCTAAATGGGATATTTCCAGTCTTTTGTAGCAGCCACTTAGTCACAAACGCTGGCCAAAGTTAGAGTTTTTTTATTTTTTATAAATGCTTCCCCCCCACAATTTATATATATATATATATATATATATATATACACACACACACACACACACAATACATACATTATATATATATATATATATATATATATATATATATATATATATATATATATATATATATATATATATATATATACACACACACACACACACACACACACACACACACAAAAAGTCGTAGTTTGGCACTCTTCCTTAATGTAGTAATTTAAATGTTGTGACCAGGGTGCAAACCCACAAAAAAATATATCCAGAAAAATAAGAGGTGCACACCTGGATTTGAAAATTAAACTTGATTTATTGTGCAAAACTCTCCACCACCTGATTGTGAACCCGGAAGTGAGTGAAGACCACGTGTGACGTCATTCCGTTACGTCTCTAACGTGGATCTTAAGGTAACTAGGCAACAGTAGTTACAGGCAACCAAGCACCCGTGCGTGATACTATGAGCATTGATTTAAGGAGGATTATAAGGGTACCTCTGAGGCTACAAAGTGAACTACAAACGAACGTGAACATTTCAAACCTGTGCATCTCAATGAGAAAAAAATAGGTAGTCCCCAAGGAACCACAGAAAAAATTAAAATGGAGTTTTTTTTTTAGTTAAGTCCCAATGAACATCACTGAGTGGTTCTGGGAAAATAAAGTGGCTATTGTCTATATATAATACTTACAATGGACAGAGCAGGAGAAAAATACGTGCTAGTGCTTTGTATAAGTTAAGGAATTAATTCAGATGTGTATACCCAAGAATAGCCACATACAAAAGTGTGCGTTGGACGTATGCAGGGTTACTTAAAGATAGTACCACATTGATACATTAACAATAAAGGAAACAAGAGAGAAATACAAAAGTATACTATTAGCGGACCATAAAAGTCTACCCCTGCATATGAGGGATTATGCAGAAACGCTATTTCAGTATTATCATGGGAAAACTCTATTAAACAAATATTTACTAAGATTAAGCAAAAATGTAAATGCTATAAATGCATAATTATAGAAACATGGAGAATACTATGTTCTCATTCAAGTCATTGGGGGATACAGTGTTTAAGTGGTGTATCCAGTATGCATCACATTTCGGCAATATTTTAGCTTTGTCTCCCCCACGGGGTAAAGGGGGGACATGATCAATGGCAATGAATCGTAAAGATGGGAGACTATGTCCCTTCATCAGAAAATGTTTAGCGACTGGTTTATCAGTCTTTTCATCACAGTATACAGGGTTGATGATGGACCGATGTCCTCGAATGCAGTCTCTGAGCGTCAGGTCGGTCTTACCAACATATGCTACAGGCCTCGACCATCGGATCACTGGAACGCGGGCAATACCCGTTTAAACCACAAATCCCTCTTGTGGATCTATTAGAGGACGTGGATCTGCTTCCCTCCGCAGACGCACTCCTACAGGTAATGGACTCTCATTTTTCTCATGTACCTAACACTGGCCCGGTTAACCCATTTCCCCCCCCCCAACAGTAGTCTCAACTCACACAGGATCCGTGGATCCTTCAGACCGTGTCCGGTTTCCACCTAGAATTTACAGAGGACCTACTTCAAATTTCCTCACCTACCCCACTCAGGATGTCACAAATAAACCACACTACCCTACAAGTCGAAGTCAACGAATAGTCACCAAAGGTGCTACTGAATGATCCCTCACCCCACGAAGTTTAGTGAGCAACATGTTTCTAGTCAAGAAAAAGTCAGGAGAATTCCAACCAGTCATCAATTTAAGAGAATTGAACAATTTCATCAAATACAGACATTTCAAGATGGAAGGCATCCATCTATTACGAGACCTTCTCTGCGAGAGAGATTGGCTCTCCCGTTTCGACCCAAAGGATGCATACCTCATGGTACCAGTAACACCGAAGCTTCGCACCTTCCTTCAATTTCAGTTGGCGTTAAGAACTGCGGCAGTTCACCTGTCTCCCTTTCGGACTATGTTCCGCACCTTGGTGCTTCACCAAACTAATGAAACCAGTGATGGCACTACAACATTCACAAGGGATTTGATCCATCATATACCTGGACGATATCCGCCTTATGGCTCAATACTAAGAGACTCTACGTCTTTATACAAACATGACTACGGCTCTTTTACAGAACCTGTGTTTCATAATAAACATCTAAAAAATCTCTAACCCCGTCTCAGACAGTACAGTTTCTAGGATTTCAGATAGATTCTGTTCAGGCAGTTCTGCAACTCCCAGCTACAAAAATAAAAAAGGACATTCGGAGATGGTTAGTCTCCCCATATCTCCGCCTCAGAGATTTAACTTACATAATCGGATTACACTCTGCTTCAATAGAGGCAGCCTCCTGGGATGGGGTGCCACCTGCGCAGAATGGTCTACCGACGGCCTCTGGTGCCCATCAGAGCAAGCACTACACATAAATTGCTTCAAACTAATTGCTGGTTCCTTCACGATCTGCAGCTTTGCCAAGGAGGCCTACAATTGCTGCCTTGTCCTGAGAATGGCCAATGTGTCAGCAGTACAGTACGTGAACCGCCTAGGTGGCTCCCGATCAAAGATGCTATCAGATCTGACGAAGGAACTGTACCAATTCTGCCTGGACAGGAACATTTCCCTTCGTGCAGAATATCTACCAGGCTCTGACAACCTTGTTGCAGATTGGTTTTCCTATCATTGGAGGGACTCCAGCGATTGGCAACTGGACCACACATATTTCAATGTCTCCAGCTCCTGAGAAGACCATTCACCCTGGACCTGTTTGCGTCTCGCCTGAACCGTCAGACTGACACATTTTTTCGGCTAGCTTCCAGACCCAGACAGACGCATTTTTTCGGCTAGCTTCCAGACCCAGCATGCCTGGCAGTGGATGCTTTCCTCCAATCATGGCCAATGTCCGGAACATATGCCTTCCCCCTTTCTTCATGATCCTATGCACGATACAATATCTAAAAACACAGGGCGTCATGATAACACTGGTGACCCGCTGTGGCAAACCCAACCATGGTTCCCCTATCTCCTGGAAATGTCGGGGGACTGTCCCCTATTTTTACCAACCTCCTACAATCTCCTTAAGGATCCATCATGCAACTTCCATCCACTAGCACTGTAAGGCCACCTCCAATTGGTGGCCTGGACCATTTCAGGGGATCCTGGAACGTCTCTGGCCTTTCAGCTACTGCTCGAGGACTCCTATGGGATTCATGGGCCCCAGGAACAAGATGGTCTTACCTCTCGGCATGGCGACATTGGAGTGGCTGGTGTTTGAAGAGGGACATCTATCCTTTTTCAATTTCTTTAATTAACATAATTACTTTCTGTCATCCCTTTTCGAGCAGGGTAAATCTGATCGGTTGATTAATGTTTTTCGTTACGCTATTTCTGCGGCCCATAACTCTGTTGACAACTCGTCAGTTGGCAAATATCCTTCCATATGTAGACTTTTGCGGGGCATCCACCTCGCAAGACCTCCGGCTGCCAAATATAATCAGTTTTGGGATGTTGCTATTGTGCTATCCTTTTTATAGGCTTGGCCTTCTAAATGAAGCACTCTCTCTCCAACAACTGTCAGCCAAATTGGCACTACTTCTCTGTTTGGTATGCTCTCATAAAGTTTTGGACATCAGAGCATTTGACGTTCACGCCTCTGACTTTACTCCCGAGGGAGTAAACTTCTCCATTACCCGACGCACTAAAACCAATTAATTAGTCTACAGTGAGCTATCCTTATTTCCAGGATAAACAATTCTGGATTATTCTAACCTTAGTGAATTTTATTTTATTAAAGACAGGAGGTGAATATTTTCCCACTCGTGGAATACTCTCCCCATCCTGCTAGGTAGGTATTTTGCAACACCTTAATATTTTGTTACCAATTAATTTTGTAATCTTCTAGGGTTTTCGGTTTATTCTTTACAGAATGCATTTATAGTTGTACTACATCTTTAATTCATAGCCTTAAGATTTGTCGGTGTACTTTATACACACTGCTTTTGAATACATGGCCTTAATGTTAGTTAAGAGGTTTTGATTCTCTTAACCAAGAGACCATACTTTCATAATTTATTTCTCTTTTTTTTAGTGTGAAGACTCTTCGTTACCTTCGCAAGGAATGATCTTCAATTATTAACACCGGTTTACATGGTTGACTATTTTAGGATCTACTCATCGGTCTACTGTTTTCGTTTACATGGTTGACTCTACAACTGTCGGCTACATCAAGTAAGAGGAGTTGGGAGGAGCCTGATGACTAGACATACTCTGTTATACAGTTGCAAGAAAAAGTATGTAAACCCTTTGGAATGATATGGATTTCTGCACAAATTGGTCATAAAATGTGATCTGATCATCATCACATCAAGTCACAACAATTGACAATCACAGTCTGCTTAAACTAATAACACACAAAAAATGAAATGTTGCCATGTTTTTATTGAACACACCATGTAAACATTCACAGTGCAGGTGGAAAAAGTATGTGAACCCCTAGACGAATGACATCTCCAAGAGCTAATTGGAGTGAGATGTCAGCCAACTGGAGTCCAATCAATGAGATGAGATTGGAGGTGTTGGTTACAGCTGCCATGCCCTATAAAAACACACACACCAGTTCTGGGTTTGCTTTTCACAAGAGGCATTGCCTGATGTGAATGATGCCTCGCACAAAAGAGCTCTCAGAAGACCTACGATTAAGAATTGTTGACTTGCATAAAGCTGGAAAGGGTTATAAAAGTATCTCCAAAAGCCTTGCTGTTCATCAGTCCACGATAAGACAAATTGTATATAAATGGAGAAAGTTCAGCACTGCTGCTACTCTTCCTAGGAGTGGCCATCCTGTAAAGATGACTGCAAGAGCACAGCGCAGACTGCTCAATGAGGTGAAGAAGAATCCTAGAGTGTCAGCTAAAGACTTACAAAAGTCACTGGCAAATACTAACATCCCTGTTAGCGAATCTACAATACGTAAAACACTAAACAAGAATGGATTTCATGGGAGGATACCACAGAGGAAGCTACTGCTGTCCAAACAAAAACATTGCTCGACGTTTACAGTTTGCAGCAGAGCACCTGGATGTTCCACAGCAGTACTGGCAAAATATTCTGTGGACAGATGAAATCAAAGTTGAGTTGTTTGGAATGTGTGGCGGAAAAAAGGCTCAGAACACCAACATCAAAACCTCATCCCAACTGTGAAGTATGGTGGTGGGGCACCATGGTTTGGGGCTGCTTTGCTGCGTCAGGGCCTGGACGGATTGCTATCACCAAAGGAAAAATTAATTTCCAAGTTTATCAAGACATTTTGCAGGAGAACTTAAGGCCATCTGTCTACCAGCTGAAGCTCAACAGAAGATGGGTGTTGCAACAGGACAATGACCCAAAGCATAGAAGTAAATCAACAACAGAATGGCTTAAACAGAAGAAAATACGCCTTCGGAAGTGGCCCAGTCAGAGTCCTGACCTCAACCCGATTGAGATGCTGTGGCATAACCTCAACAAAGCGATTCACACCAGACATCCCAAGAATATTGCTGAACTGAAACAGTTCTGTAAAGAGGAATGGTCAAGAATTACTCCTGACCATTGTGCACGTCTGATCTTCAAATACTGGAAACGTTTGGTTGAAGTTATTGCTGCCAAAGTAGGTTCAACTCGTTATTAAATCCAAGGGTTTGCATACTTTTTACACCTGCACTGTGAATGTTTACATGGTTTGTTCAATAAAAACATGGCAACATTTCATTCTTTGTGTTTTATTAGTTTAAGCAGACTGTGATTGTCTATTGTTGTGACTTAGATGATGATCTAATCACATTTTATGACCAATTTGTGCAGAAATCCATATCATTCCAAAGGGTTCACGTACTTTTTCTTGCAACTGTATATTCTGATTGGTTAAACCTTTTACTTACTGTTAACGGTTTCTTTGCTGCTGGGAGTTTCAGTAAAGAAAGATGAGCAAATATTCGCCTCCTGTCTTTCAAAAATTTAGATTATTCGGTTACTGAGGTTAGAATAATCTCGAATTTAATGTATGATTGCAAGGATGAATTATTGAGCAAGAGATGACGGTGTTCAACGTAATGTTGTATCCCACTTTTTGAGATTTTAGTTGCTAACATTACACTGTCTTGCAAGATAATATTTTGACAAACATTTATAAAGCAATGGCACATCGGCCGAATGAGTTCAGACTAGAGATTGAGCGATTATCGGTCTGGCCTATTATTATTGGCCGATATTCTGTATTTTCAGCAATATCGGTATCGGCCAATAAATATATAGATATTGCCGATAATGCAGACCAAGGCCGCCATTAGGGTCCTGGGGGGCCCAGCACACTCTTACTTACCTTCCCAGCAGCTCTCCTGTCTAACTCTGGTGGCTGGAGGGAGCTGCTGGGAAGGTAAGTAAGAGTGTGCTGGGCCCCCCAGAGAATGCCATATCCCCCCTCCCTGACCAGGTAAGAAGCAGGGAGGGGGGGGACTTTTTTTTTTTTTTTTAAGTAACAAAAGTAAATATGCCCCCCCCCCATTTTACACACTTAACATACCTACACAAACATACACTGCATTCACTATACACACACACACTGCATTCACTACACACACACTACACATACACTGCATTCACTATACATACACACACTACACAAACATACACTGCATTCACTATACATACACACACTACACAAACATACACTGCATTCACTATGCATACACACACACATACACTGCATTCACTATACACACACTACACACACACAAACACACTGCATTCACTATACACACACTACACAAACATACTGCATTCACTATACATACACACACACACATACACTGCATTCACTATACATACACACACACACTACACAAACATACACTGCATTCACTATACATACACACACACTACACAAACATACACTGCATTCACTATACATACACACACACTACACAAACATATACTGCATTCACTATACATACACACACTACACAAACATACACTGCATTCACTATACATACACACACACACTACACAAACATACACTGCATTCACTATACACACACTACACAAACATACTGCATTCACTATACATACACACACACTGCATTCACTACACAAACATACACTGCATTCACTATACACACACACTACACAAACATACACTGCATTCACTATACACACACACTACACAAACATACACTGCATTCACTATACACACACACACTACACAAACATACACTGCATTCACTATACACACACACACACTGCATTCACTATACACACACACACATACACTGCATTCACTATACACACACTACACAAACATACTGCATTCACTATACATACACACTACACAAACATACTGCATTCACTATACATACACTGCATTCACTATACATACACACACACTACACAAACATACACTGCATTCACTATACATACACACAAACATACACTGCATTCACTATACACACACACTACACAAACATACTGCATTCACTATACATACACACACACACACACACACACACTGCATTCACTATACATACACACACTACACAAACATACACTGCATTCACTACACACACACACAAACATACACTGCATTCACTATACACACACTACACAAACATACTGCATTCACTATACACACACTACACAAACATACACTGCATTCACTATACACACACAAACATACACTGCATTCACTATACACACACAAACATACACTGCATTCACTATACACACACAAACATACACTGCATTCACTATACACACACACTACACAAACATACTGCATTCACTATACACACACTACACAAACATACTGCATTCACTATACACACACTACACAAACATACACTGCATTCACTATACACACACACACACACTGCATTCACTATACACACACACACAAACATACACTGCATTCACTATACACACACACAAACATACACTGCATTCACTATACACACACACAAACATACACTGCATCCACCACACACATATATTCTTGAAAATATAAAAACATTCTGAATAGCATGTCAATTTTGTGCATTTACCCTAATAACAAAATGTTTTGCAATAAATAAATAACATGTTCAGTTAACAGTAAATTTAAAAATAAAATTAAAAAAAATTCAATTCTTTATTTTTGTTGTGCTCAAGTAAAAAACAGGGCTGCATTGCCACAACAGCAGAGGCAGGTTCTGTAAAACACATATCAAAGACAATGTGGCAGTCGAAGTATTAGCACAATTTTTTGTATATAGACAAAATGGTAACACAATAATGCATATGTTAGTGAACCTCATGCTGCGTCAGGCTAACCTTTTTATATTACAATTCTGTATTGTTCTCGGGCTCAGAGTAAGGAAGCAATATAGTTTGCATGTGCTGACAGTATGATAAAACATATATTAGAAGACAAAAACAAAACACAGTTTGCAGCACTGATGGCATCTGTGACCTGAGGGTTTTAGAAGTGTATTGGGGTAAGGTATGCACCAATGTTTTTAAATCGGCCAGCCTGTGGACCGTGATGATATGCGTGCCCAGGCTCGCCGTGTGTGTCGGACTCGGGGTTGTGCCTACAGACACATACCTTGCTTAATCATGGTGTGGCTAGCTAGCTGGGGCTGTATGTTTAGTGGGGAGGTAATTTTTATCTAGTGGGTGCTGGCATGGTCTATAATGTCCCTTATATGGCTGGTGTGGCAGCTTACTGGCCTTAGGTGTGTTTGGGACTGCTTCCCAGATGCATCGAGCCTATTGTGTGTGGCTATATGGTGTTGATAGAGGCGGGGTGGGGGGGGGGCATAGCTGTTGGCTACTAAGCCAACCCATCGGAGTGTGAGTACGCTTTTAAAGTGGGGTAAGCGTAGAGTGGACGGCAACAAAAAACAAAACTAACAGGTGTAACAAACTGTGCACAGGTCTATAACAGCAGGTTATCTATAGTCCTGCTTTAGTATGTGTGCAGGGTGAGGCAGGCTGTGGGAAGCCTCGGGTGGTCGTTGCAGCATAGGCACTAGATTCCACCCGCTGGGGGACGAATGGGGTCACCTTGGTGGTCCCATCTGTGGGTGGCCGCTGGGGCCTTCCCCCGTCCGGGGGGGGCCTAGTCTTGCGTGAGGCCGAGTGTCTCTTGTAGGGCATCCGCTTCTGGCATATCACCTATCGTGTAGGTGGAACCTCTGTGGGTGACTAGGAGAGTCTGAGGTGTCCGTCAAGTGTACCTTATATTGCGTTCTCAGAGGAGGGAAGTAAGTGGCTGGAGCGTTCTTCTCTATACCATTGTGCTCCTGGAAATATCTGCATAGAATGAGAGCCCCATGTTCTCAAAGAAGTACAGGGAAGTCCCCTGGAGGGCAGCCATTACTGCCAATTTGTTTTTCATGTTTTGAAAGTGCACTACCAAGTCCCTTGGGGCAGCCGCTGGGGCCTTTCTCGGCTTTGGGATGCGGAATATACTGTCCAGATTAATGATCTTGGCTTGTTTGGGTGTTAGCAGCGCCACCAACAGGCATCTCACCAGGTGTGTTAGTTCAACTGCCGGTATTTCCTTGGGTATGCCTCGTACCTTGAGGTTCTTGCGCGCCTTTCACCAGGATCTCCAATGCTGCCATCTTCTGTGTCTGTCCGTCTGAAGAGGTCTCCAGAGTGCTCAGCCTTCCCACTAGGTCTGTGATGTCTGTACGGAGGGAGGCCACATCAGCTTGGATAGTTCTCTGGAGGCCCGTGAGTAGGTCCTTTAGCGCTCCTATCGTGACAGGCTGGGAGTCTGGGCTCTTTGGGGTTCATGGTGCTGGCACCTGTGGTGGTAAGTCAGCAGTCTCCTCATAGAGCGGGTCCTCGTCCAAGGTATCTGTACATTCACCAAGGTAGTCTGCCATCTTTGGCCTAGCCGCCTCGTGTACTTGTCGGAGCATATTGCTGATATTCATCCCCATCTGGGGCTTGTCGGGTTTTTGTTTTCCTACCCATGCTTGCTGGATTTGCAATGTTGTCTGTTCCGGTGTCATGTTTTCAATTTTTTATCGATTTTATTGTTAGTTGATGCCGTTGCTCATATAATGTGCATCCATCCGCTACTGGGGTTAGGCTCTGCCCCCCATACAAACATAGAAAATTAAGCCATACACTCAAACTCCAACTACTCATAAGCGGCAGCAATAAATATAGTACAGTATATAGAGCTGCAATACCTTCAGGTCCTTTAATCACAAAAATACTTCCAAGTTTAACTTGGGGTAACTCAGGTGTTAAAAAAAAAAAAAAAGGATGGATCATTTAGTAAAAGATACCCAGAAAAGACCATTACTATGAGTGCAGGGATCTGTCAATAACTTGTTTGAAGTAGTGGAACAAGTGGTTGATGAGATAAAATCAATGGGGATTAAGTTCGGGCAGAACAAGTAAAGGGATGGTATAAGCACCGAAACAATATCATCTTTGTTAAACAATCACGGCTATAGGCACTCTCTCATTGAAAACCTTTAATTTTGAAAATCTTCATATTTGGCGTCATCATACACTGCATAATGATGCCAAATGTGTTCAATATTTATTAAGTACAGGTAAGTTTTACAGTTTTATAACTTTAAGGGATTCTCTGAAGTTAAAAAAAAATACTTTTACCATTTACATTTGCTCTTTGTGTATGGCATTCACACAGCACATTTACTGCCCAAGGCACAAGTGTAATAGCCAATTCTCCAAGATTTTTGGTCTTATGTTTGGGCTAATCAGCTTCGCCTTCCCAGATTGAAAGCTCAGTGGAATAGACCACTGCTAACAGGTAGGTATTTTAACAGGACCTTGTCCCACGTAGTTACAGGCAGCTATAGGACAAGTCTGCACAGGAGGACAGGGTGGCACACATTAGCTATGGGTTAATGCTAGATTATGGAACGTAACCAGAGATCCAAACTCTAAATGGAATGGAGAAACCCAACACAAATACAATTGGAAGGGGCAGTTACTGCAAAGTGAGATATTTTGACAATTAATAGAACTTTTTTTTTTTTATATATATAATATTAGTTAACTTTACTAACAAGGCAAACACAACATAAACCAAATCACTGCACTTGATGTAGTAGTTAAAAGCAATTTCTACAGAAAGGCACTTGCAACCTTAAAACGGTGATTGTATCACAGCACATACAGAGAAATATGGGTTTGATCAGAATTCACCACCTCATCAAAGACTGCAGTCAGTCAGTGCAATGATATACATACTGTGGGGCAGGTTCTGCCAAGTTTCATTAGACTGCTAAGAATCCTCATACTGACTGCTTTGCAGACTCTCTCGTTTCACTAATCATACAGACAGCTACTGTTTCCTAGTTCAGGGTCATCAACAAACACTCCCATGTAAAACACGTGCCCGCCCTCTCCCAGTCACACCCACAAATACAGTCCTGTAACTGGCTCTGCCGGACTAGCGTGGTTTAAAGCAGATCTGCAACTGTACGTTCCTCGTTGTGCTAGAGCAGTGCTTTACATTAGTAGTAGTAGTTAAAACTCAGTTCATAATATTTTCATACCTCCCAAGTGTCCCTGTTTAGGAGGGTCAATCACTATTTGGAAACCAAATCATCTTAATAACAGCTCCATATTGTTGGTGTGTCCAAGTGTATAACAGAACTCCACAACAATGATACTCACAGTAATATGTCTTTAAACTACAATAAAAATTTTTTTTAAAGAAATAAGTCTGTGTAAATACTACAATGGAATGTTGACTTGTTGGGAGGTATGGAATTTTGTATTTTATTTATTAAGTATTGGCTGCCTTTCAAAGGACATTATTCTCAAACAGAATTGTTCCACATACCTCCCAAATGTCCCTATTTAGGAGGGCCAGTCATTATTTTGAGCCCAAATCCCTCTGTCCCTCTTTTTTATCTTTTTTTTAAATCTTCCTCTTTTCTAGGCGTCCCATATTGTTGGTGTGTCTGAATTTACACCAGAGCTCCGCAATCAGACATCTCACAGTTGTGTGTCTTTAAACTGCAATAAATGTGTTTAGAAATTAGTCTGTGTAAATAAGACACATTGTTCTTGTTATACATTACATTTTAAATGAATACATTGTTATTAGTAAGTCACCTATTATTTCTCAGAGCAGCCCTGCCTCTGGCCACACCCCCTCTCATACCCTAAAATTATAGTGCCCCTCTTAGTCTATTTTGAAATATTAGGGGAGTATGGCTTCATGTGGGAAATTTTCACAAACTAAATTTACAGGCAGATTTCAAAATCCCAGACATCTGCCTGGAGTCTATTTTTATTGGGACTGTAAAAACTATTTTATCGATACTGTGTTAAATGGCAGGTCTCTTTCCATATTTACCTTCTCCTATCTTGTAAGCAATGCTCAAATGCATTGTAGTCTGTGGTCAAATGTAGTGAAGTAGAATCTGTTAGTGCCTAATAATCGCTAGTGCCTAATCTGAATGTGTTGGATTACTTGCTGCAGTGCAGGTGAAGTACCTTCCTGTCTATCCTTAATAGATAGTATAGTACCAGGAAAACAAAGCTAGGAATAGCTCCCTCTGCGTTGGGTCAGTGTTGGGTCAACGCTCTGCCCTCTCCAATGTCTCCTGACGGGAGGGCAGCGAATATACGCATGCCCCACGAGCACTGCGAGCGCATTAAGTAGAAAGCATTGCTGCAATCCTGCAACCAAAAGTCACCTAGCAAGCACAAAGTGCCTCTTGCTAGTTTGAGATTCAGAAGAATGGATTAAGACGATGCTACTGGCCCAACAGGGGGCCATTCATTACCTCCTGCATCACCAGGGTTAGTCTCAGTACGTGCAAAGTTTCACAGTAAACTGCTATTCAAGGTTACTCCAGGCACCATGACCCTTTAACAGTGGTTCTGTATTGAAGAACCCTTTTTATATTACGCAGCAGCGGTTTCTTCTCTTTTTTTAGTTTTTTTCCTTTTCTTTATAATGTATGTAGAACTGGAGCCAATGGATATTGAAGCATTCATTGTTATTATGTCTTGTCTTGGCCTTCTTGCTGCCAATGATTTAAAAAAAACAAAAAAAAAAACATTTTATCAGTTCATTGAACCAGCCAAGATGCTAACAAATACATAAGATACATTTTATTTGCAAATCATTTCCCCCTGGTTTACTCTTTACAGCTGAGAAGTAAGTAATTTTTATGACTGTTACACCAATTCCACTGACACTGGGCTGCTTATTATTTATTTAATTAATACAAATGGAATGCTCATAACATAAAAATGAGTACAGGGTATGGGTGCCATCTAGTGGCAAAGAATAATATACCTACAGAGACCATCAGAAAGAGTCCATTTAAAGGGAACCTGTCCCCCACAAATAATTTGCATGACAAATTCACCTTCATGTTGGTATTCGTTTGATCTAGCACACAATGTATTCTATATATTATTATTATTATTATTGCCATTTTTATAGCGCCAACAGATTCCGTAGCGCTTTACAATATTTTGAGAGGGGGATTTAACTATAAATAGGACAAATACAAAAAACTTACGGGAACAATAGGTTGAAGAGGACCCTGCTCAATCGAGCTTACATTCTATAGGAAGTGGGGTGTAAAACACATTAGTACAGGAATTTGCAGTCAAATAAGGTGGGCTGCCCTTCAGGAGAGAGCAAGAGACAGGTATGTGAGGTAGAGGTTAGTCTTGGAGGCCATAAGCTTTCCTAACGAGATGAGTTTTAAGGCACTTCTTAAAAGATGCAAGACTAGGGGAGAGTCTGATGGCAGGCTATTCCATAGGAAGGGAGCCACCCGAGAGAAGTCCTGCAAGCGTGAGCTGGCCGTATGGGTGCGGACAACGGACAGGAGGTGGTCACGGGCAGAGCGAGGAGACCGAGAAGGGACATACCTATGGATCTGTGAGGAGATATAAGAGGGGCTAGAGTTGTTCAGTGCTTTATAGGTGTGAATTAGTACCTTGAATTGACTCCTATAGCATACAGGAAGCCAATGTAAGGACTGGCAGAGGGGTGAGGTGTGAGAGGACCTACTAGAGAGGAAAATCAGTCTGGCAGCAGCGTTCATTATGGACTGAAGCGGTGCAGTATGGTTTTTGGAAAGACCAATCAGGAGAGGGTTACAATAATCCATGCGGGAAATTACTAGAGCATGGACAAGCTCCTTGGTAGCATCTTGTGTAAGAAAGGGGCAGATGCGTGCTATCTATAGACTGAATACTACTGGTCTGTGGCACTAATATAGAACACAACCTAGGCATGTGCAATTTGTTTCGGTCCAAATGTAAATTCGGACAAATTTCGGCAATTCACACATTGCTTCCGAATGTCCGAATTGCCAAAGTGCAGAAATTTGGAAGTGCCAAACCAAACCGAAGTGCCGAATTTTGAAACTCCGGAACCAAATTGCCGAAGTGCCGAATTTCTAAGGAAAAAGCAAACAGACAAACTTATAATAATTTTTCAAATAAATATATACAAATTTCAATACCCGTCCACTTTTTGGGTTTTGTAAATACATACACCATTGTACAAGTATATCAAAATGTGAACTAAACAACATAGACATACAGCATAATCTTATTTTGTCATTTTTGGGAATGATATATAATGATAGTAGAACAGAACACTGAAGTGGCATACGTAAATACATTTATGGATAGAAATACAAAGAAACAAGTCCTTCGCTCAACCTCCCATTACTCCTGGGCGGCAGCAATGACCGTAGTACAAATCAGCCAAAATACATATAGTAAAAACCAAAGGAAAAAAGTTACCTGCGCTCTTTCCACATCCCATACCATCCATTTATGGATAGCACTGGAAAGTTGTTGTGCCTGTATTTTATGTTATATTTTGGGCTCTCAACTTTTTAACCTAAAATAAATATTTAATTTACCTGTAATCCAGAACTGTTCTGTCTACCAGGAAATCATCAGTACTTGTGATTGTATGGTATATGAGAAGAAAAAAAGAGATAAAACAACACCAATATTTAGTACACCTCAATATCATAATAATAATAGACCACTTAATGCTCCCTTCATTTCGATTAAGACGTTCGGGTGCATTGACCCTTCAGTTTAAACCTTGCTATGTAAAACATTGCAATGTTTAGAAGACACAGCAATGTTATGATTGCAGAGTTAATACACCTCTAGTGGCTGTCTTCCAGACAATCACTATAGATACTTCCCCTACAAGAACTTTGTCAGACTGCTAGGGGAAACGTTGAATTCAAGGAGGTGGGACTGGCAAGGGCTAGAAGGTAAGTAAATCAGCATTTTCTTATTGCAAAGTGGGGGAGGGGGAAATCTAATTAGTTAGTAGGACACTGTAGTGTTGGGAATACATGGTTGTTTAATTTTCCTGTTAAAAGTTGTAGTAAAGAATGATCAAGTAATGCTATAACACAAAGTTTGTTATTTTGCAGTGTGTTTATGTAGTTTCACATAATCCAATGACAATCCAAAAGTACAATAATCAGACTGCACTCCAGTTCATTATTGTGGTGGTGGTGGTGGTGGGTGTGTGGGGGGGGAGGGGTACGGATTAGTACAAAAAGCTCAACAAATATACAGTTATCAATGGTCACATGCAACATTATACTACATAGTACAGAAATACAGGTAGCGGAGAGGACTGTCAGCAGGACGGGAACAGTTAATGAAGGGGAATTTATAAGCTACATGAGTTTTAATGAAATAGACATAGGGAGGGTTTCAAGCTGATACTCCTACTTCAGCAACACCACCAAGGGTTAGGGTCCAATCATATCTAGAAGCACACATACAATCTACTAAACAAGTTCTCCCATTAAGGTCTATCTAATTATGGGCAGGTCCACCAGACATGCAGATACACGCCCTTCCCCCCACATCCCTCCACAGCTGTGCCATCCTACATGGGTGTCTGTACAACCTAGCAAGGATTTAAAAACAGTTTTGGTTTCTAAAGTACATGAGGTAAAGTAAATAGTGTAATCAAAAATATCGGACCAGTCATCTTCAACTATTGGAACAACATATTCATGTTCCCATTTCAATGTATATTGAGGAGGGCTAGAGTAATCTAGTAAAATAAAATGAGAATACAAATGAGATACGAGAACACAGCTAGTGGTGGAACTACCACGTAAAAGGAGCCTGTGTTGCTGGACATGGTGTGGAATGCTAATGAGTAATGCCAAATAGGGCATTTTAAAGTAGAACATTTTTTTTTAAAGACTTAAATATCTAACCTCACTAATATACTTTTGAATCCACCACTGAAACTTCAAAGGAAC